CAGGATCAAGAGGGGTTTCCAGTTATGTTGTAAGTTAGGACACATTTCCTGCAGAAGGCAAAATCAAACTTTACCTGTGATGTTATCATAAGTCCTGAAGTTCATTTCTATGTGGTCCCACTGGAAAATCATACAGCTCTCTGTGCTGGGAGCAGAAATGGCCACGTAGACATCATCCTTATAGCTGAATGTGTCAACAGACAATGATTCTGAGGCAATAGACTGATGAAGGATGAAATCTGTGGAAAGGAACATTGGGAAATTTATTTTTCACAAACCAACAAAGCCACATTAAATGAATAACCTCTACACTTCTTAGAATAGCTCTGCTGAGTCCTCTCATCCTGATCTCAGCTGGACATGAGAGAAGGGCAGCTGGCTCAGGTGTTTCTCACCTGTGGAGACACACTCATTCTGCAGGCTGGTCATATCATTGAGGCGCTTGCCCTTCATGTCCTCTGGTCCAGCACAGACAGCATCTGACACTGTGGCGTTGGTGTTCTTTAACCACGTCATAAGCCACTTGGCTCTGCAGTCACATTCAAAGGCATTGCCTCGCAGGTCCCTGCAGAAAGAGAATATTGTATTTCACGGCTGAACAGGGAGAAAGACAGACTGCAAGAATTACACAGTACGCTATTTACCTATTACTATGTACAAACTCACAGCTCTATAAGGGAGTCAAGGTCAATGAAGAGGTCCCTGGGCAAGGCTTTAATGTTATTGTTTGCCAAAGACCTGGAAACAAATGCAGTTGATTATGAAAAGAGACATCATTAAATCATGTATAACAGATAACAGTTGTATTTTCAGTCACTGGAACATACAAGTGAGTCAGGTCCCTGAGTCCTCTGAAGGCATATTTTGATGTAGTCTCTAGTTTGTTACTCTCAATGAATCTGTGGATCAACAAGAAGAAAAAGAAAAGTATATTTTTGATCAATTTCAACATTTTGCCAGCTAGTAAACCAAATGGTAAGTGGACTGGTTCTTGTACAGCACTTTTCTATTCTACCTCAGCATTCGAAATCCTTGAAACCTGTCTAATTCAGAGCAGGACTTTTTTCTGTGCTTTTTCTACTGATGTGTTTTCTATCAAACACTGACACTCTGATGGATACAACCGAGAGGAACTTGAGTATCTTGCCCAAGAATATTTGGCATGCAGACTGGAGCTGCTCTACCTCCCTAGCTACAGCTACCAATTAAAAGAAGGTTCAAAAAAGCAGCTTCACACTTAATATAATGTACATATTTTCTTTTTTTACAATAATCAAACAATTTGAAAACAAACAAGACAATATCCATGTTATTTACATAGTCATATGTAACTGGAGGCCTGTTGGGGGGATGTTGAGCGCACTTTCTATATTCTTGCTATTTCAGTTTCAGAAAGAATATTTCTGACATCGTACTGAATCTGGTGAGCTTTCCAGAGTCAATTTAAACCATAATGTTTGTAAAGGTTGTGTAAGAGCTGATTGCGATCATAGCTACACGTGTATTTGATGTTTCTGTTAAATAGCAATGACTTGATGCTACAGTCACATGTATTTATTCTGGGGCAATGGTTCAGTGAAAGGCTTTGTTTATTTTGTTATTTGCAAGACTTTGGAATATGTGCATATAGACTCACCAGTCACGTTTTAGGTACACTTGTTCCACTATCATAT